CAAGTGCGACGAAACTTTATTCCTGGTGATGTATAGCAGCTTGCATGTTCTTCTCCATGAGTCCCATGTAACTCTTTATATAATCCCTATATACATATATATATATATATTTATACATCCTCTGGTAGTATGTTAGTGTCCATTCTCTTTTCCATTCCTCCCATACCACCCTATATAACCCCAGGTATATACCCTCTTATATCATAATAGTTTCAACTTTCTTTTCCATCGTTCCCATACAACACCTCCATAGCCCCCAGAGAACCCTTTGGAATACAGTACTTTCCGTTTTTTCTTGCAGCCACTCTCATACAACCCCTAGATAACCTCCATAGATACCCTCTCATAACAGAGTAGTTTCCATTTTCTTTTCCATTATCCTGATAGAACTCCCCAAAATAACTCCTCTATGATCCCTCACATAACTCCTATATGATCCTATATAACCTTCCATAAAACTCCTATATGATCCCTATATAACCCTCCATATAAATCCTATATGATCCCTGTATAACCCTCCATATAACTCCTATATGATCCCTATAGCCCCCCCTTAAAAACGCCCAGAGCCCTTCTGGGATGCTGAGGCTTTAGCTGGTCACTGGTGGTCAGCTTCCGGAAGTTTTCATTCCAGGTTATGACCATAATGGTACCTGCAAGGCTCCCTACTGGTGCTAGGGTTATATAGGTATAGTCCCCCTTAAGTAGATAGAAAATGGCGTAGGGTATACTACAATAAGATACCCACATACCCATATTCTATCTACTTAGAGGCGGACTATATCATACGGGCATATAGGAGGATTATATAGGGAATATTAGAGGGATCAACTTCCCCACTCTCCCCTAAGTACGTGCAAGGCTCAGGGCTTTCAGGGGTTGATGTGGGCTTCAAGGGTTTAGAGACACAGGATGTCTGATGCTTTAAGGGCTTGGGCATTTTGAGTTGAAAGTCCAGCGCTCTTGCTGCTAAGGGTTTCCAGAGCTGTGGGCTCTTAGAATAAGTTCTTCGATCCTTCCTGCAAGCACCCAAGAAGTCACCACAATATGACGGGATCCATTTCCTACATCGCAAAACAATGCGAGCGGACAGATGTCCATTTGGAGCAAGTGCAGAATTCAGATATGTGATTTCTGTGCACAAGGCCTATGGAGCGCCATTTCGCAGGATTCAGCAAAGAATGAGGGCAAAGAATCGCATGAAACTCTCTCAGAAGGCACTGATCTTTCAACTTGTCATTATCGTAACTCTCGAAACTACCCACGGACTGCTGGGCCTTGGTGGCCCTCCAGCGTCTGGTTCATGGACAGATTGCCTGCACAGATGTAAAATTCGCTCCGCAACAAAGGCAGCCATGGTGTTCATGGTACGACAGCTTCCGTGGCTTCATCTTGTCACCAAAAAGCCAAACGAGAGAGGGGCTATATCCCAAGGATTTGAGCAAGAATGGACAGCAGTGGGACGCCTGAAAGGCTTCCTTCAACATCCTTCAACCAAGGCAGCACGGCCAAAGTTGCACTAAAATCGCAGTCAAGTAGTTATGTGATGACCACGATCTCGGAGAGCGATCCAAAACTTTAAGCGAAACAGCGGACCAGTCTTCATGACCTCTGCAGGCTATCCAAGTAGACAAGCCCATGTGCCCTGCTTTGCTTTATCCTACGCACCCAAGTCAGACCTTTCCATTCAGAATGTCTATGAGCCTACGATAACCTCACATTTCAAATCCGGCTTAACATCATCTTCACATTTGTAGCGTATGTAGCGTGAAGGGCAAGCACTTACAGACTCACAGGGGCCCTTGCTCTGGCCAGCCGCTGCTTTGGCAGCCCCATCAGAGGCGGATTCGAGCTTGAGCACCTGAGCAGCTTTCATGGCGGGAGGACCAGGTATGTTGCGAAATGTAGTTCTGAATACGACTCATGGGGGACCGTCCGGACATGAAAGCCCGGGATGTCTCATCCCCTCTGAATTACAAAAACCGAAATGGATCCAAGTTGGCTGGCCTTAAGCAGCCCGCTCTCGCCTGCCAGACCATGACACCATCATTTTGCCAATACTGCATACCGTAGGCTCCACTTTGAACTTTGGTGCCATGCTCGCACTAGTGGGAGACCATGCATTTCAAAGCAAATGCGTCACAAACCACTGGCCTCCGCAAGCAATCCATCCCTGCGCTGAGTTCCAAGATACCACCTGCATGTTGTTGCTCTGCGCTTCAAAACTACCATGAACTCTTGCTTTCAGGGCTGCGGCCTGCAACGCTAGCTGATGCGGTATGGCAATTTTCTTGCTCAAGTAGACCTTAGTCAAGGATCAGTTGGCTGCGGGAAGCTTCATGCTTTCCATATTTTCCCTAGCCGTCTGCGACAGGTACTGTCGGAAGTTTGGAGGTGACACACAAAGTTCAAATGAACCGTGGACCGTTCTGAATCGAATCTGCCCGAGATGGGGACAAACATCGCTGTGTCCAATGCCAGCTAAAGCCTTCGACAAGCAGGGCCAGCTGATGAGCAAGCAGCGTGGTGCCTTTGAAACTCTGCACGCAACCGCACAAAGACTTCAAGAGCCCAAAAGCTCGACTACAAAAGAAGCGTCTCTCTCCTCTTCTCTCTCTGCTGCAATGCGCCGGTGCCATGTAGCTGGCCCAAAGAAAGTTTTTTCCCCTGAGGATCCTGCACACACCATGCGCCGGATAGCGCCTGCCAGAAACTGTCGCTTTTTGTGCCCTTATTTGCCGCAGCTGTTGCAAGCAGCTTTGGAGGGCCGCGGCTGCACACAGACAGCTGCCGACTGGAAACATCTCTTTCGTATCTCCCTGCCTCCTGTTGTGGCACAACTACAGGACGTGGGCAACGATTTCTAATGCTACAAAGTCCTGGGAGTTTTAGAGCTGCACTTGGCTGACTGCCAGCTTCGCGGGTCGGGCTGCCACAAGCTGAGTTGGGCTTTGAAGGCTTAAGGAAGTTCCAGATGGGACTTGATATCGCTATACGTGCATTCCATTTCATGTCTTGAACCAAGCTCCGAACATCACAATTCCACAGTTTGCGACTCCACCCACGCACTTGCTATACTGCTGTACAGCATCGCACGATGCCTACATTCTGGGAACAAAGCTTCTTTTCGCGATGCGATTGGCAGGCTGCATAGCAGTGGCAGCACCATCATCTGCACACGACGTGCCGCTAAGTAGATCGATGGACACTGTACGTTCCCAAACAAGGTAGTTTATGTAGTTCTTGGTTGACCACATGTGAACTACTGCAGCGACACGGTTACAAGATCTCTCAAGCTCAGTGTCAACAGTTGACACTTTTCAGGAAGGACCGTTGAAATCTGAGCTAGCAGCCTTGACCTTAGACGGACAAAACAACGGCTGGAAATCACTTCACAGCGCCAGACTGTTCTCCCTATTCTTGTGTCGCTAGGCGCCACATAGGATCGCCACGCGCCAGACCATGCCAGCTCTGGAGCCCCAAGATTTCCTGAGAAGCAAATTCTTCTTGCGTCCAGCGACATTTGCAGGGCTATGACTGCTGCAGCTGAGACCTGCGCTCGTGGGTCTTGCGCCAGTTCTTCTGGCGCCTGCTGTGGCTAGGCCTTTGCACACATAGACTGACTGAGGAAGAGCAAACCGGCTGGGAAGCACCATAAGGAGCATCAAAATTATGCCGATGAACGTGCGGGTCTGAAATGCATCCATCATGCTTGCAGGAGGGGCAGGGACGCCTTCCTCTGATTGCTAGGTGAATTTGGGGCAGCTGCCAGCTCCACGAGGGTTCACCGCCTAAGCTCCAAGACACAGCCCAAACATTTGTTCAAGAAGACCCTGCCAAGCGTGCCAGGGGCACTGCCTTCACCTCCATTGCGCTGAGCCCTGGCTTAACGAATGCCACAAATTCTGCTGTGGATGTAGATTGGCTTTCTCCAGATCTAAAACCAAGCACCCTGCGCGGCACGCCAGGTATTCTGGCACGCGCGGAAGCCTTACAGTATCATCTGACCACACCAGAGCACCCACCAAAAAGTTCATTGAAACACACACCCTGAAACACAACAGCCTCCGCAATTCCCTTCCACAAGCGTTGGTCGCTTTGCCCAACCTCAGCTTCACGTACTATGCATGCAAATATTTCCTCAAATAGAGGGCCTCAGTACAAGTCACGATAGTCCAATGCCCTATGGGCCCCAAACAAATCCTAATTCTTTTAAACTGCCATGTGGTGCGCGGAACTTTGGCATTTGCTTCTGCGACGAGTGGCATCCCTGCAAAGGAGCTGCAGTGCCCTCAGAGGAGCGGGGTGTCACATGAAACCCTCAGCTCATCATCTTCTCGCATCCTCGCCAAGGCTCTTAAACAAGCAGTCAACTGAGGTGGCTACGTTGCCCAACTTCGGAAAATCCTCGGCAAAGGAGCAACATGTAGGATCAGCACATGCCCTGAAAAGTAAAACCTCAACCCCAGATTGCTGGGAAACGCGCTTGCAGTGTCCAGGCGACTTTGCCAGGCATCCTGCAGGGCAGAAGAGGGCATCTTTCAGCTGGCACCGATTCTGGGACCCACCTTGCAAGCTTCTGGAGGATGTTCAATGCGAGGCAACTTGCTGTGGGCCCAAGGTTCACGCAAGCAGCAACAGCCAAATGCCTTACTGCACTATATTTAGAATGTACCTGCTGAATCTGTCATTTGGCCCTCTCACCCACCCTCCACTGACCCGAGCTCTGATGAACCCTATGATGGGAACTCAAAGACCTAAGTGCGTTTCGCGTAGAGGCGACAACAGGTTGCAGACATGGAGGAAACAGCGATCCCCACAGCCAGCGAATCATCGAGTGCTTGGTTTTAGCAATGCTGCCAGTCCCTGGCAACCACAATGCGGCATTGATTTATCTGCTGCCCGGGGTACAAAGTTGACCCCGGAATGTTAAAATTCCTGCTGCCTAGGTAGCTGATGAAATGCATGGGAAGTTGTGACCTAGAGACTCTGACAATTCCAGCAAACTACATCCACACTTGTTCACTTGCACCTGCGAGATGCGAGTTCTCAAGCTCATCCAGCTTTCCCATCGAGAAAACTCTAGTTTCGAGCATCTCTGACAACAGCATGATCCGCCAGCCCCCAGCAAACTCGGCAGAATTTGTGTATGGCTGTTGGGCAAACAGCTGTCGATCTTTGTGGCGGGCAAAGAACTGTCGGCTAAGCTCGCTTTATTTGCAACTGTTCATGGTGCGGACACGGCAGCCGCAGCTTACGGCCCTGAAGCTACATCGTTCCCTGGCCATGTTGTCGCTCGTCACGCTTGTGCACCTGTGCGCACCCTCATGAGTGGGCCGGGCTTGCAATCGTCGCTGGCCACCGTGACGCTGTAGGTCAAGGTGTCAAGGTGCAAGAACAAGCTATCTGCAATCCAGGATGGGCTGCTTGTGAGGATGCACTACAGCTGGACATCCGGGCATGCAAGTAGAGGAGCAAGGCGTCCAGCAACTGCGGTTGCAGGACTGACATGGCCGCTGCCAAAGGACATCAGAACGATAACTGAAAGGCATCCCGACTAGGAAGCTGAGGACACTCTCCCAACTGTACCAGAAGCTTTGCCACCAGCCTAGCCGATTAGCACAGCCACAAGAGACTTTGCAGGCATCTAAGCACTCCATGCATCTCAGATTCCTTCCGGGATCTGCCGTGTCACCGCTGAACTCTCCGTCGCTGAAGGGCCAAACTATCTGCTGCACTTCAGGGTTCCGCCGTATATGCAGGTTGCTTTCAACAGCAAACTCTTCCCAGCACATGTCCTGTTCCGTATACATATCCGTCATGTCTTTCGAGGCTGCTGCATCCAAAGCTTGTAAGAATGAACTTATCTTCCAGATGCTCCCTGGCCCCGCAGAGTATCCCTTGCGGGCTGCATACCTCTCGTGCTGCTTCATGCGCCGCTCGTCGCCCGGTGCAAACTGCACGCTGGGATTCTTCAAATACTTCTCTCGAAGACCGGCATTCCAAATCCCTATGTGCGTGTTAGCGACATTGCCCATTGTGTTCAGATCAACATCTGGCAAAGCATGCGGCGGCCTCAACAGCCGCGTGTCATCTTCCCAAATCATAAGAAAAGTTGCCCCCTGCCCGGATGCCCATCTAGCAGCCTCTGCAATCCGCTGCAGGTGCGCTTGGCACGTGAAATTTTGGTTGAAGAACTTGGACAAGTGCATGCCAGACTCGGCTCGAAAGGTGGAAATGTTCAACTCGCGAGCAGCCGGGGAAAAATCAGGCCCGCCGTCACTGAGCAAATAATATGGAGCATGTGGCAAATGCTGCCGGACGCTGCTGATGGAGAAGTTGACCCGGCTGCTCAAAGCATTGGTCTGATGAAAGAAAGCTAAATCCGTGGGACCCACCTCTACAGCACGGTAGCTAGGGCTCCCTCGAAGAGCAATCATCTCCCGGTTCAGCGCCCAAAGTGCCCCGACGCCTAGAAGTACGAAGCATTTCGCGGAGTAGCGCATTGGCCATCAGGTTCTTCCGCTGGCACACTTTAATGCTCCTGTTTGTGTTTAGCCTCTAGGCTGTGAGAGCAAGCATTGGTCTTGTTTTGAAGTTAAGCTGCAAGAAATACATCAACACACAGCTCTCCGTCCATACCGCCCTCAAATTCGTAGCATCAACACCTGAGATTCTCAGCCCAGAGTGGGGAGGGTGGCAGCCTTCAGTCTCATTTTTGCAGACCATCCTTCAGAGGCTTCCGTCTGCCAAACGTCTAACAATAGCCGTTGCCTGGGATACTGCAGCCTCCCCAAACTGACATGGGCCTTCTGTGCTTCGGCTAGCTCTTAGATGCTAAGTGAGCTTAGATGAGCTCAGCGCGTGCAACACTCATCTGCACTCAGCATCGCTCAACTTCAAGTCAAGGCTGGTAGATGAGCTACTCTCAACACACATTCAATGGCGTTTCTCCGCAGGCCGCACTGAAATCTTCCGGGAACATCTTCTGGAAGCCCTGAAGTTGTGGGAGCGCCAGTCGCAGCGGCGCAGCAGCCTTCGGGGCACTTGAACACTGGCACCGGCTCCCAGGCCACAAAATCTCAATTAAGAAGGTTGCATGCTTCATCTACATACATTCAGCAGTATCGGAGAAATTGCAACTGGCCTGCGCGAGGGACACGGCTGCAAAGGCCCATCGCCTGGAGCCCTGCACAAAACTGAAGCTGCACAGGATCTGGCCGCCTGCAAGGAGAGCTGCACAAGCCCCAGCTTCTCCAGCCATGTGCTTCGACAGAAACAGAGGCGCACAAAAGCGAAACAGGAAGCTTAACTTGCTTACTAGACTCATTGCACGATCTCTCTGACCTACAACATGGACAGTTGAGCTTAACTGGCGAGCCTGCATCAGCCTTTAGTTCTCCGATCAACTCCAATGCAGCTTGAAGTTGTGATGCCTGAGGCGGCTGAGGCACGATGCTTGTTACATTGTTGGGCCCCTCGCGGGAGCTCACACACACAACAATAACTTGTATCATTCCAGGTCCGCGAAAGACCGTGGCGAAACCCCGTGCCAAAAAGCCATATTATACCGCCAAGGGACCTCCAGGAAGAGCACAAGTCTGCTGTCTTCCTGCCCATGGTGCAGACGTAGCCAGCGGGTTGACAGGTCCTGCTGTGATCATGTGCTTCAATGTTCTGCGGGCGTCTAAGATGCCGTGACAAGAGGACCGTGAGGTTATGAGGTTAAAGTTTAAAGACCATCCATGAAAAATCTTGCTTAGTTTCCCGGAAAGGACCTAGTTGAAGTTCGACGATTCAGGGTGCACGTGACTGGCACCTGATCAGACATGTTTATATCAACAGCAGCGTGCCTTCCAGCGATGTTGCCAAGCTTTGGGGCCACAGTCCTTCGACAAACCAGTTGAAAAATCTACAGTACAAAACTGCAAATGGGAACAAGCTTTGAAAAGCAGGTGAAAGCATGAAATGAATCTGTGGATATCTGTGGAGTCTCCTCCAGCAGCATCAAGACACCTTCAGCAAAGCTTGAAGATTGAAATTAGGAAGTTGTCATATGCCAGCTCGGCTTCGTACTGCACTGGCGCAGCACCTCTTCTGGTGCTGAAGAAGCCTCAAAGACCTGCAATTGATCTGGTATGATCAAATGCCACGAAGGTCTGATTGACGCCGACAACACATGCACGTCCACCTCACGCCCCTGTCGGCGAAGCTCACATAGCACAACAGGATCATCACAGGTGCAGCCTCAAGCAAAGAGGTATCAACCATTCACAAACAAGCGGAGGATCTGAGTTCACAGCAGGACAACCGAGTCAGCCGAGTGCAGGCTGCCAGGTCCGGAACCAAGGTGAAGCCCGGCTCGTGGATCACAGCCCCCGAACCTGACGGGATCTGACGGGTGAGATGCCTGACCTGCCTGACCCGCGTCATGCAGAGGCCCCTGATTAGGCCAAGCTCGCCTGCGGCTAGGATTTGCTGAAGCAATGGCAGCAAGTGCCGCAGCCGCCTCCCTTCTGGGGAAGGCGTCTTCACCCGAGCCTCATCCCAGGTGCCTGATGGGAGCCACAGCTTCGACGAGCTTACGGATGCTGCGAATCAAGCCAGACCACTGTGAAACTCCACCGCAGCGTCCTCAAATAGCCAGCCAGGAGTTGAATAAATCTATAGAGCCAAAATGTGTCTTCGACAGGCACCAAGCGCGAGCCGTCCTCGCACCCAACAGCACCCAGCAAAGCCGGCGGCAGCGTCGCCTGCAAGAAAAAATGCTGGACACCCACACCTAGCTTCTTTTGACAAATCCTGTCATTTACACATTTCACCCTGGGCAGTTCCAGTAAGTCAGATATGTGCCGGTGACGCTTTCCACCAAGCTTCTAGTTGTATGCATTGATTTTAAGTAACACTTCATTAAATACAAGCATCGTGAAAGACACGACAGTATGAATCTGGTAAGTTCACAGGAAATTGGAACAGGGTTCGAAGTGTTCATGAAACTCCACTTCCACGTTGTGCACCCTTCTGGGCTTGTTTTTACATAGGATGCAAGACTCTCAGTCCCAGAAACCTATAACTTGAAGTTTCTAAGGCAGAGAGCGCAAGGTTCCAAGATGTCCAAGAGTCCGGACCAAGAGCGTGGGTAACTAAAACAGGCAGGACATTGCAGTAAATGGTTGTTGTATATGATTGGCAGTCACGATCAATAAATACACCTCACCTGATTTCTGCTACTTTCACTGCATAAAAGCTCTGAAACCCTACCCATGCCCTTTAGTTGGGGGCATGGCTCCTGCTACGGTGAAAACGTGTTGCATGTGAAGAATTCAGACGCCTGCGCATTGTCCAGCTGCCCTCCGAGGCGCACGAACAATGCCTCTTGTTGGGCGGAGCGTGCATGTCCAACGCTCGCTTCCTAGTTCAAGCCATCTCAGAAATTCATCAAACTTGTAGGCAAAAGATCTGACTTATGAAATTAGCAGTCTTTGTCATGCCGTAATTCCTGACGAATCACAAGAATGCTTGGCCGTTGCCCTACTTGCCATGCGGTAGCTGCTGCCACTACTTTTGTCTGCAAGTTTCTTCCCATGTAACTCAGCTCATGGGGATGTCGGAAAGATCATGAAAGCCAAGGGCTCACAACAATGCTGGCACAGCTAGACTAGACACGTCAAAAAGTGGAAGTCAACGGTCCCGGGCAGCTTCTTCTGCCAAGTTGCAAGCCGCGAGTTGTTCGCTGTGAACTTCATGACAGAAGCAGCAGAAATCGTGTAGCCATGCCGTGAGCAAGCCTGAAAAGCTGCAAGCACTACCAGCCAAAAAGTAAAATGTGTGGCTAGCTCATCAAACATCAAATAAAACAAATTTCGGTTAGGAAAGCAAAGGGTAGTTGCTACAATCGCATACAGTGGCGCGCCTGTCTGAGACCAGCGAGCGTCCAATCCACAGCACTGCCCGACCAAACTTCAGCTGTTGAGACGTAGGCGACAGTAACCTGGCAGAGGTCAAGCAAAGCACATCCTTGCCGCACATACAGCACGGAACGTATGACAAAGAACTTGCGCCAGCGGGGGGGGACGAAAGCTTTCAAGCAGGGTGCATACTAGCACGTGCATTTTTTCATGAAGCGGCGGAGCGCGAACGGCCTCCGCTTGCCCAAGAACCGCTTCCAACGTGCCCAAAAACCTGCCATCTGGCGCCCCAAACGGCCTCCACGGCACCCCGAAACCGCATCGAGACAGACGCCTCGTCACCCCCGTTTTCGAGGCCCACGAGGACACCTCCCGAAAACCCTCCTGCCGTGGGGTCTGGCCCGCCAAGCACGGCAAAATCTGACCACTTTTGGGCTTTCCTAACCCCCACACCCCTTTAGTACAGATCAGCAAAGCTGGGCTCAGACGAAAGCTTGGGAAGCTTTCGTAATTTGAACGCAATTCACCCCGTATTTCAACAAGCAGCTTCCAGGGGCCAGAAGGAATGCCCACATGTAAGTAAAGAGTGTGCCAAAGAGCTCTTCGCTTTGGAACTTCCAAATCGGCCATGGAACTGCCAGCAGCGCATTCTTCGAGAGGAGTTGCAGGGAAAGGAGCTCATTCAGGTGCGACCACTCGCTGCAGCTGTGCAGCCTTTGCTTGCAAAGCTTGAAAGAGGACAGGAGCCATGGGCCAAGGAATGAAACTGGGCGACTGTGTTGATGTGCAGGCCCTCCCACCATCATAGCCTGCAGCTTTTCCATTTCTACTTCTGGCACAACCTGTCGTCACGCAGGAAGAAACACTCCCTACTCGAGCTGGTAGAACCTTGACCGCATAATTCCTGGCCGAGATTCCCAACCACGCAGCAGCAAACTCCTGGCGTGGAGTGCGGCCCGCCAGCTGTTGCAGGTAGTCCTTCGTGATTCTAGAGTCTAGTGTTTTCAGCTTTTGAAACTGTCCACTTCCGATGAATCAAATGGCAGGAGTTCTTGCATTACTTACCTTGAAGGCCATGCAGGGAGAGGCTGCACAGGGCCACAGTCCAGCAGCGCAGCTCCGCAGAGGACGCCGACCTTTCGACCATGCAGAGCAGTTGCCACCTCTGCCTGGACCAAGAAATCAGTGTACTTTCCAGTTTCTGCATCCGGCCGCAGCAGGCCTCCAGTTCGTTTGGCAGGGACGAGAGGACTTGGCAATCGGAGGCTTCCAGTGCTTCTGTGACGGGCAGCAGTTTCACCTTAGCAGCCGCCAAACTCGGCATGCGGAGCTACACATCGCGATGCCTGGGGAGCCCCACAGACTCCAGCGCAAGGGCTTGCGTGCCTCTCCCAACCACCGTGGCAAACGCCCAAGCAGCAAACCTATCGGATCTCATGCTCGGTTTACGTTTGCCAGCTCTCATGTAATATCATGTCACGTTCAAGATACACAGCCGGGCTTCATGTTAAATCTAAAGTAGTCCCTGTCCGTGGCCCTCCGCGCCTCAAAGCCTTGGCGAGTGGAAGCTCAAGGCCAGCTGCCAGGCCAGCCCCTACTTGCCAGTCGTCACCGGCAACGAAACTGCCAAGACGTCAAATTTGCTTTCAGGATGGGAGAAACTTGGAGCACATCATGGCACACCTTGGTGCCGAAACGCATCCAGCACTAAGCCCTCGCCTGGCTCCTTCTACCATCGGCCGCAATGCCAGTGCTGTACCGGCTTCCGCATCAACAAGGAAGGCTGCCAGTACCATGGGAGTCGGGGCCCGATATTCCAGAATGCCCAGGAGGGTCACCTGGAGACCACATGCTTCTGCCATTTTCCGCCCATCCGACATCATAGATTGCGCCCAAGCTTGGGGCCTTCCTCTCCGCTCGGCAAGCAGCGGCCTGAACGCAGAGTACCAGGGCGTCTGCGAGCTCGCCCCTTCCGCCAGGGATGCACTGAGCTATACTGAGCTTGATAGCGTTTAAATTGCCAGCATGTCTTGCACCTGCAAATGCGGCGCAAGAGGCACTCACGACGCTAGTCGAGAAATGTCAAGCAAATTGAAGAATCATCAGGAGCCTGTAGAGCCTCGCTGCACCACGTTCAGAAAGCGTAGCTGCCAGTATGCAGCCCGGGCGGAGGAGTGAGCCCTGAAAGAGCAATCGAAGATCACCCTGCCTGGGGCACGTCATCCATGGATAGTTTGGTTGATGGAGCAAAGCTCTGTTCATCTAGCTCAGTACGGCATCACTCTTTCACATCCTTATGAAGCGTGCCAGCACTGCGGCCTGCGTCGACCAGGAGAGGACCTCAGACTTTGCATGCCAACTCAGCTTCTCATGAAACTTTACATACAATGTAGATCGACCAAGTACGTAAACATCAGCAAACATCCATGTAATCAATCTAGCAGCGGAAGCTTCCGCAAGGCCACCTGATTGAGCTGTCTGAGGCCAAAGCGCCAGAGTGCCGCAGTAATCGAGCCAGACGAAATCAAATCCGGGGCATCTCCGCCTCGGAAAGGATTTGCGTGGAGGCCGTTGGTTCCATGGTGCCGATTCACTAAGTTCCAGGATGTATCAGGGGACGGAGATGAACCAAGGCGTGGCGCCTGAAGGGAAGAAGCTGCGTGAACGTCTCCGCGTCGGGCTTCAGCCATGCCTTTGGTGCAGTGCCCTCTGAGTTGAGCCTGCTACCTGCTGTTGGCGAAACAAGATAGCATGAATTGCGTAATTCCATCGCCGTCAGGGGTCTGCCAACAGCTCATGAGAGGTGCATGGGATGGCACACACTCCCGGAGCAGCTTGCTGAATCGCTGCGCACTCTTCGCAACCTTGATTTACACAGGGAGACTTCTATGAAAAGTTCGGCCTGCGCCTCGCTCTGATCAAAATGCAACGCATTGTAAAGCCCGAATGGCAAATGAATAGGCTGCCAAGATGCTGGGATTTGGCACTAGGGTGGCATCCTTGCGAGGCACTACACCACTCAGTAAAAGTGTACAAACATCTTTGTCAGGCTGATGATTTTCTTAGCGAAACACAAGAAGAAACAACAGGCGACAAAGCATAAACCAGCAGTTGGCATTATCAGCAGCACGTCCAAGTCTGAGAGCATCTGGGGTTTTTTTCTTGCATACTCCCTCCATTCACATTGTCGAGTAACATTCGGCGCATTTACACCAGCTTCATGAAGAGCCGACAGTGTCTGGAGTTCGCGCGTCTCCAAAAGCAGGCTCCAGACACCCGTCTCTGTGGAACCGGCCGACGGACTGCCTGAATGGCAATTGTGGCTTCTTTTTGAGGCTGTGGGCCTTAAGGATCCCTGCACCAAAACTCTGGCCTGCGACCAGCTCCGCCAGCCAGCTGTTGATGCCAGCTTTCGTTGCATTGGAGTATGTCCGGCGGGCAAACCCTGCCGGCTGTCACAGAATCACGGATCAAGGCTGCCCTTTGCAAATGTTGAGAACTTGGGAACGTGCAAACAAATGGTTAGGTGCCTGCCAGACGCTGCTGGCTGCGATTGGACGTGGTCTGGGAGGCCGGCGATCGGCCAGAGACCGTCCAGCCACTCGCTCATGAGGCAGGCGGGCACAGGTCCGCCGACACATAAGTGCGCTGGTGCAGAGATGCTATGGCGCGGTGCTGGCAAGCCAGGAAATGATGTTTAGCTTGCGCAACTCACTCGGGCATGCTACAGTAATGACTGCTGATCGGACCTCGTCATTCACATGGCTCACTTAAGCCCTGCGCAAGCAATTCCGCATCGTACGGCCATCGCACCACCATCAAGAAAATGTTGACTGCCCGCCCAGTGTCCTTTTTCCATGCAAGGCACGCGGCAAGCTTCAGCTCCTGCATCAACTCATCAGCCTGTGCAAAAGAGGCGTTCTGGTGCTGAGAAGACTGCATCAGGTACTAGCATGCTAGTATGCGTTCTTCGCATCAGAAAACTAGTACGCAACTGAAATTCCACATACCATCTACCACACATCTTCCATATTCTTCAATTAAATCTCAGACAAACGAAGAGCCTCCGACCCAAGCCTCAGGTTACCCAAGCCTCAGGCTGGTTCCATGTGCGAGATCAGAGCTGCGGAATCTTTTCTGCAAAGCCGTATCTCTCGGCAGTGCTACTTCCTGGAGTTACCGACGTCACACTACTGAGCTTGCTGCGGAAGGTGGATGCGGCCTGAGAAGTGTTGTTCAAGCCGCATCCACCCGACACTGCTATGACGCCTTTGGTCCCAGTACGCCTCCACAGGGCTCTCTGCTGAGAAGCAGGCAGAGGTGGTCCAGGTGGGGGCACCGCGCCCGGAGGTGGCAAAGGCGGAGCTGCGGCACAGTCCATTCAGCTACAAAGTCTCCAGCCCTTCAAGCTTCTCTGTCTGTCTGTCTGTCTGTCTGTCTGTCTGTCTGTCTGTCTAACTCGGGACACGGCCGCCGATGCTTATGCTCGACGCGGACCTTGCTTGTCTGAGAATGACGCGAACTTGTGCTTAGGAAAGGTTGAGCTGCCCGACGGAGGCGGCAGCGGCGGAACCTTAGCAGCAAGTGCTCTTGGCATTCCAGATTTGCACTGCATTGTCGCGCCCCAGCAGCTTGGTGCTTTGCTGGGCAGGATCTGGCAACAATGCCGGGAGGTGTTGGTGGTAGGGGCGAAGGTCGTGCCTCATGGCGGAGTGCATTGACTTGCAGTCGCTGAGCGTCTGCCAAAGCTGAGCTGCTTGCCGGTACTGGAGTGGGAGCCAGTGGACGGGGCGGTGCAGGTGCAGGCGGAGAGGGTGATGTTGCCGGTTGTGCCTAAGCCAATGAGTCTAAGGGTTCAAACCATTCCATCCATTCCCTTCTTTGTGAACTTGGGTCGGCACAGGAACCGGAACAAGAGGCTTGGCTGCCACTGGCGGGGAAGGTGCGGGCGGAGATGGCGAGGACGCGGGTCGAGCCTGTACTCGCACTCACTCGCCCTTTAGTCGATGCACTCCGGCTGAGGCTTCTGCAGGAACAGGCGGTACAGCCGCCGGTGCCGGTACCGTGGCTGCCGGTGCCGGTGCTGTTGGCTTTGCAACTGCCACAGGGATGCCCGGCGGTGCGGGCGACACAGGTTTGACCTGATCAGCTGATTACATTGCAGTGACGACGCCAAAGCAGACACTCCTTACCGAAGCCTAAGAATAACGTTAGACTCTGGGTGGGCGGCAGGCGGTGCGGGGGCTGACCTCAACGTCAAGCCGTGCACTTGCCCACTACATCTTGTACTTTCAGCGCCTAATGTGTTGGGAAGCCAGCGTGCAGTCCACACCGGCCCACTTCAGCATTGTTGGCCACAGCCTTGAGTAGTCTCCAAAAATACTTGTAGCAGCTAGCACTTTTCAGCTCACATCTGCTCAGGCGGCCACACTGACCCATCAGGCTTCTTGTCTAGCAGTGGAAGCCTGATTGAACGATCACCGACTGCTTCCAGCAACTGTGCTTTCAGAACGCTTCACTGTTCTCCAGTGACCGCTGGGTCACAACAACATACGCAGTGCAGCTCAGGAGCAAGTTCGACCATTGCGCAGCACTGAGGGGCTGAGGCGAGTATCTAGACCTGACAAGCCGCAATCTAACACCGACATAGTGAGCCAGGATGGGCCAGAATGAGCCAGGAGTTGGCAGTCAAAGCCCCTGGCAGAACTGCTTGAACGTCAAGCGCTGCAACCTGGAAACACATTCAAGCTGAATCCACGGGGATTTGCTTGATTGAAAAGGTCGAGGTATGTTTGCACCGGATGTCTCGAGCGTTGACGTGGAAACCACGACATTCAGCTTTTGAAAAAGTTGCTGACCCTAGCAATGTTAACTGGCACGGCTGCAGCAGACCCACATCAAGAAGAGTCGGCTACTTCAAGCTGCTGCACGTCTATGAATCCCAAGGACTAAGTACTCCACCGATTCTGCTCCAAGCTGCTTGAAGAGATTTTCCAAAGGGGTTCCTACAAGGGCATCTGTGCACGGCCTTCACAAACTGATGGGGGGAGCGGCATCTGTGCCTTGAGAACGCGCGATCTTGTCCACTGACTTGATCAGGTCTTTACCCTCGGGCAGCAAAAGAAGAGGTGCTGCATGCTCCAGCACAAGGGCAAACGAGGCTCCTGCCCACTGCGCCTGAGAGGGCAAGACTCAAAACTCGTCACAGGAAGGATGGGCATCTTGCCTGAGGCAATAGATTCGGCAAGCTTATCATACAAGCTTGGAAGTCCTGACAAGTGAAACGAAGAGAAAAACATGAACCAACAACTCCAACTTGAGTACAGGCCCGTTGCGGTCCTCGAAAGAAAGGCTCGGTGGCTGGTTCGGCTTCCGCCGCGCAAGACGACCGAACAACATTTCCGCCTGCAAAACAAGCTTTTTGCAAGCAAACTTGTCTGCTAAAAATGTCATCTGAGGGTATGCCTCCAATCTGGACAGCGGGAAGCCATGATGCTCAACTGCAGACAGGAAGCCTTGGACCACTTGGAGGTTCAGGAAGCTTTGTTGAAAGGGTCAGCATGCAGCCGCATGCAGGAGGAAGCTTGAGTCCGCCACCTTCTTGTGAGACCGCCTGGCAGGCAGCGTACTACACTCACAGAAGCCTCGTTGAGGCCATTTACCGCTGCTTGTCTCGGGCCTGTTCCATGTGGGTATCGTACAGGACAAATGCAGAATTCACTGTCAAGCCTCTGCACAGAACAGCACAGTTGCGCATGAAAAATCAAAGACAAGTCCAAAGGTTCAAAGGCTGTAAGCCTGTATCGTATCCTGTCTGCATGCATAAGCCCAGGACCTTTGGAGGCTAGATGGTTCTGCAATCGCCCAAGGCCTCAGCGTTGGAAGAGTCCCAAGAGTCCAAGTTTGCAATAGCGGAAGGTAATGAAGACTCAGCGAAGGGCAAGCAATGGCAGGAAAATCCTCCTGCGACAGCCTCTCAGCTCTGAGCGGAACAACATCGCGTGACAGAAAGTTTAAAAAGACTTGCAGTGGATTCGTAGCTAGGTATCAAAGGTCCGGACAGCGATAGCCTCGCTGAGAGCGGCGGCTGGACGTGTCCTGCCTGAAGTGAATCCATCAGACCCGTACAGCCAAGTCTTGTAAAAAAGAGAAATGCCAACCTGCCTCCAAAGCAGGCCAGGTTGGCCAGGCGCTTCTGGGCCGATCCTGCAACCATTTTGAACAGCATCACTGCACCCTTTTGAGTGCCCTGCAGCCAGGAACCTGCCGCCAATCGGAAGACAGCTGTTCTGGAGTCAGGGTGCTCGCAAGACGTGCTCCCCTGCAACAGCCATGGCAGTCGAGCAACTAGCATCTCACCAAGCCAGAGTCTCAGTCAAGTGGCGGTGATAGCGGAAGCCCCCTAAGCAAAGGCTTCAGGCAACATGATCTTTGCTTTTGGTTGCTTGACAAGTCTGATCCCAAGGCTCCGTCTCAAGCTGAAGGTTTGGTAATGAAGCCGACATTGGAGACAGCAAGCCTCCGCTCGGTGTTCTTGACCTCACATGTTTCTCAAGCCTCACATGAGAGGTTTGCCAAATTCGCAGCTTAGGCTACTGCAACCCGCCACTCTTCTCCAGCAGCTGGGACCTCGGGTCCACAAGCATAGTTCAGCTTGCCATGTGGTTCTTTGAGGACTGGGCAACATCTGGGACTCACCCAGATTTCCGCCAATCGATGTAAGGCCAGGCTGGCGAGATCATAATGTTTCTCAAAGCTGCAACACTCGTATCACAGATCTCTCGCATGTTCAGGACATCCTCAGACCCTCAGACGGGACGCTGCGCCACAAATCTTTGGAGCACCTGGCGGAAGCAAGCGAGCCGAGTAGCACCAAAGCCCGCCCTCCGGGACAGAACCTCGCCAGGAATACCGGGACGCACAACAGCAATCTACAGGACCTGCCTACCAGAAGGGTTCGGACCGGAGGAAGCAAGAGCTACGCAGCTAGGATCTAACTTGAACACAAGTGTCCTGCTTCCAAGGGCAGGGCCATGTGCAGAAGTTGCTAAAGTCAAGGCCAGCAGCCTCACGATGAGGCTCAATCCAGCTCAAATTCCAAACTCTTTTCTTGATCTCTTATATGAGGTGGGATTAACATGTCTGGACGACTGCCCCACAAGGACACCCAAGAGCCACACTCACTCACGGTCTTCAGAATCCGAGAACCCTGTATACCACACCTCAGATCTTATCTTGCTCTCATGCGGGGACCCGGCACCCTCTGGAACAGTGAGGCGCCAAAGCCTGGCCACCACCTGTGCACGGGAGCCAATGTTTTTTCCGACAGTTTCCAATGAAAGGAAATTCAGGCTTGTGATATCTGATGGGCCGCATCTCCAGCCAGGTCGCCCCGGACCCAAATCATTTTACATTGGCCACCCCGAATCCTGAATATGAATACATTCACCTAGCTCAGAATATACCCACAGTAATCCTCGTCGAATCCCCGTTCCTGTACTAGCTTCAATTTTCTTTCCAGTCCTTCATCAAGGCATGCTTGAAAAGTGGAAAGACATGATCTGATGGTTCTCAGAGGGACACTGTAAGGGATCCATGGGGATTCCAAGCAGATCGCAAGATTCCCTCTTCTGGAACTCGACCCCTTCCCCAGAGCAGTCTGTAGGAGTCCCTGAGTAATCGCCCATGCTGTCAATGCAGTACATATTTCACCACCCAGGATGTATTGCAATCCAGGCTTTACGTGACCTAAGGCTGTCGCAGGATCAGCTCCAATCAAATGCCGTCATGGTCTTCACAAACCACATTCCCTACAAAGTACCAGAAAGCTGCTTTCTGCCATCGCAGGAGCACCTCGGGGTCAATGTCTGGCTCGAAAGTGGAAAGGACCTGACCAAAGACAGACGAAGAAAATTCAGGATACTGCTGGCTGCAGGTTCACAGTTGATAGTTTATTTCCCAAGGTCATAAATATTGCACCAACAGCAGCAGCAACAGCAGAGGATAGTAATGATGACGACGAGAGCGGCATGACTAATAAAGTTGTTGTGCATCTCAGGCGGAACTTCTGTCCTGACAGTCTGACAACAATCTCCGTTGTTGTCGGTGCTCACCATCAGTCCCACAGAGACTTTATTGCAGTACATGCCTTCAAAAACGATTGTCAGCACACATGGACTTTTCAATGCATAAAAGAGAAAAATGCATACATCTAGCACAAGGACTGCGGGCATCTGAAGTACTCCAAGGAGAGCCCACTCTATTGAAGCTGTAGGAATCCCACTTTATAACTACATAAGATGGATCCCTACAGACGCCTTAGAATCCTTGAAATACCTATTTGAGGTGCCTAGCATGGGCTAAGCCACCAAACCGCACACCTGAACTCGTGCACCCAGGATCCGGGCGCGAGCCAGATCGGCTCGGCTCATGGTCGCTGCCTCACGGCTGCTTTGCTTATAGCGAGGAAACTACTACATCATAGTAGAGTATATATAGGGGATATATAGGGATCATGGAAAAGAAAATGGAAGCTACTATTTAGGGGTTTAGGGGTTTAGGGTAAATGGGGGTTCCTAAAATTGGGGGTACCTTTCTGGGGGCCCTTATAAGGACGATCATGGGTATTTTGGGGGTCTGAATTGGAGCCCCTCTATCCGTGGAAATTACCCTATGGAACATGCTCAGGGTCTTTTGTGAATTGGGTTTGTCAAAAAGCGGTTGAATGCTCCATGATGTTGGGTTCTTAGGCATTTGTGTCTTTGGGAGACAAAGTGGCGGTTCTTTACTCGTCCCATTTCAACCCTTTCTTGGCTTGTCCCTTGCGTGTTGAAGTTAGGGGCTTTTGGTGCAATGATTTCTGCAGTGTAGTATTGATTTTCCGGCTGGTAATAGCAATAGCAGATTTCAAAAAAAGGCTGTAGATGGAGCATACAGGACTCATGCACGGGGCCGTAAATGGAAGCTTCCCAACACCTCCTCCACCGTTTTGGAGGTAATCAAAGGACAATCAAAGACTTACGCAGGAAGTTCAAGCAAAAAAGAAACAGCTACAGTTACAGCCACGGCTACGACAACAACTACTAATAGCACCACTACCACCATCACAAGAACGACCACTACGACTACGACTCCTAAGACTGCTACAATGACTACTACCACAACGACTTTGAGTATCAGTACTAGTTGCCGGTCCTACTACTGCTACACCAACATCTTGGTTCATGCTACTTGTACCACAGACGATGCCAACTCCACCCTTGCTTTTGCCCTCCTGGGTATCAGTATAATGACATCACTCCTGAAATTTGAAGGAAGGTTTGCTTCAAGTTTATGATCACAACTTCAGTAATCAGTGCCACAGCACATATCACGAGGGCCGTGCTCCTCGACCTCCAGATTTGCAGAATCCGCGAAAGACCTGAAAAACGCGCGAAGCATGGGGTTTGTACAAACTCAGTGATGATCTGTCCAGCCAGCTTTGGAAAGTATCATGATCAACTACGGATTGGAACCGTCAACCAGGGCTTCCAACTGGGTGTCTGCAGGGCAAAGCTGGAGTTGAGATAAAACATGGAAGGTGCGTACGATGTCCGTACCGGGATCTCGCGAACGTACAACTTCTCGTGCTACGGGCCGGCATGACAAGATTTCTTGATGTGACTTTGTGAAATCTTCGCTTGGTATTTTTAAGCAGTCACAAAGCCACTTCAGATGGTTTTTTGACATGTTGGTGTCAGGCTCATTCAAGAACAGACCATTCTCATTGACACATGTACGACAGTACCTGCTTTTTCTACGCACTTGGGGGCCTCGAACGACAGCATGCAAAAGCCAGACTATAGTGGACCTTCGTTCATGTAAACTTTGGCCGAGCACACTGGCTCGCGCAGGTGCAACACATTATTCCCCTTAGCAATTTTCGTGACAGATGTGTTAACCGTGCCTCCTCGTAAGGGCGGTTGGACCGACCCACAGCACTTCGAACCCTTGCCACGACTCGCTCAGCCTGACAAAGCACTCAGCAGGATAGACTCAGTAGAGCAAGGGGATATTGGGATAATAGTACTATATTACAATAGAGTAGAAAACGGTTACAGAGGGGCAATATATGGTAAAGCTATTGCATAGCTCATGCTGTACATGAGAAGGCCTACGTGGGAATTACGCTGAATTGCTGTTCCCAAACATGGCGACACCTACTGGCCGAGGGAATGTATGACAATAGGAGCCCACAGCTGGAATCGATACAAGTATTACACTGATGTAGGACATGCACACAAAGCTTGAGAGGAAGGCTTCTCAAAATCAGGGGTACCTTCTGGGGGTCCCTATAAGAAGGACTATAGTAGTTTTGGGTCTACATTGGGGTGCCCCTATTGAGGGAAACTACCAAAAAGACTTCGGCACCTCTGGGCTCAGCGGCGTGCCGTACCCATTGGCACAGCCTGCATGAGCCACACGGGGCTCGAGAGTAGCTTCCATTTTCTTTTCCATATTCCTTATATGTTGTAGATTCCATTCTATTTTCCATTATCCCAATATAACGTTTCTAAGATTTAGGGTTGGCTATGTGATGACATAAGGCCACAGGATCACATTGAGGACCTGATTGCTTTCCCGCTTACGACGTCTTGGGATCCTGAAAAGCGGTGTTCCATATGTTCCATATGTTCCTTCCTACGGCCATTTTGCTGTCATGCTTAAACAAACAATTGAGGGCGAGGGGCCTATTCCGTGGTGTGAGGTACCATTCGGCATGGCAGCGACTGGGCTGGAGACCTCCAGAGCCTCCGGCAAACAAAGAAAAGGCATTCATTAATCTTCTCATTCTTGCCACATTTGCTACTACAGCTACTGTTGTTAGAACTCTGTTCCTGAGATTGCTGCAATTCTGTATGTTTGTACTTTAGAAGCAGGTGTCAGTCGGCTGGTGATTTGAGACCGGTTCACCGTTCCTGGGTGATCTCTTCCAGCACAGCCGTGTCGCGCTCAGTACCTTCCATGAAAGTGCCTAGCTGTCCTATGCTATGCTTACAGCAAGGTAAGTGGAGGACTGCCCACAGCAAACGCGAAAAGCTCTAGGATGTCGGAGTGGCCTGGGCTAACCATGACTCAACTGACACCCGGCTGGCATCCCATCCCATAAGCTGCAGGCTCACCCCGAGATTCAAAGAAGCCTGACCGGTTAGTGCACACCATTGACCATTGTGAAGAATTCGACGTTCACCCGTAGAAGCCTACATTCCAAGGCGGCGACAATGCAAGCCAAGAATTCATCTCGGCTCAGCAGCCCCTGACTTGCTGCCTTGTGCTTTCTTTCCATTTGCAGAGGCAGTAACGGTTGTTTGCGGCTTGACTGGGCTGGCCACCACTGACCGAGCTCGCAAGAAACTTGCAGGTGTCTCAGCCTTAGAACTTCAACTCGGCGTCAGCACGACAACAACATGCAGCAACCAAAAGCACCCTTGCATTGCTGGCCTGCGAGTCAAGCTTTGCGCGAATCTGCCTCACCAAAGTTGCCTGAGCGCCACTCCGCATCAATACGCTGCAATGCTTGAATCGAAATGCACTCCCAGTGCGGACTCAAGCACTTGGAGCTTCGTGCTGCAGCTCTCAAGGGCACTCCACTGCCCGTGCAGGATGCAAGACGCTGGCAAAGCATAGTAAGAACATGACTCGCTTCGTGTCCTGCAGAAGGATCAGTGAAACTTGAGACAGCCAATCAAAGTGCCGATGTGTTTTCGAGATTTATGCTTTTGTGATGGTGCTTTTGGGCTTACGGAATTGCCCTAGAGATGAGTGTGCTTGAAGTTGTCCATCATGCCTTTTGATTTAAGCTCGACAACTTTGCCTGTGACGAGGAAGCCAAGCCTGTAGACAACCTGGCGGTGAAAAGCCACCACATGCAACCGTAGGAATGCAGTCAACCGCGCAAGGAAAAGCAAGACCAGGCGAACTGATGAACCGCTGATGAAACAAACATGACAATTTTGGCAAGCAACCACACTAGGCAGGACACCAATACCCTGCTGGCTAAGCTCGCGGCGGGGGAGCAAAGACTTGCTGCCGCCGTGCCTGCAGGCCATTGCAGGCAACTGATCCGCTAAGAAAAATGATGCTTCTGTTCTGCAACCTCGCTTCCTGCCTCATCTAAGCTGCGTGAGAGCGCTGTCTGCAGCAATCGCATGCGCGCGGCCTAGGCTGAACCCATTGGTGGAGGCTCCGACCGTAGAAGGCGGTGTTGGTATGCCAGTGCGAGATTCGTACCCTTTGCATCCCTTTGGCAAATCTATCCTCTCACTATGAGTGCCATGACAAGCGAAACTTGCCTGAGAATCCAGCACACACCTCTGCACAGGCCGCAGCTGCATTGCGCATGTGGCTGGACCTTCATCAGTAGATTGCTAAGATATGTCAGGTACGCGCAAAAAGCGTCACCACCAATCATGGAATGATTTTGCTTAGCTCCACGCATCACTGCCAGCATTTCTTCTTGAATTCCCTCAGTAATGTCGGCGACCTGGAATCAAAATAGAGTGCAGGCCATGGGATCTAAGGGTGGCAGCCATGTACAGTGACCTTTGTAAAGCGTTTTGTAACAAAATTCCTCTACTTTTTGCAAGCGGATCTGGGACGGCCCGCGACTTTCGGTATCCTTGCATCCTGGCGACAGAGTACCAAGGCAGATTCCACACAGAGCAGCTGCTCAAACATGCCAATTGCACGTAAGAAGCCTCCATGCTGGGCTTGGCAAAGGATCACGGAGTCGTGCTCGAAATTATGTACAAATGGGAACCGCGGGGCCGTTTACCCCCTATTGCCTCGTCACCTCATGTTGGTGCTGCAATTTGGACATTGGTACCTACTGCCTCCTGTAACTCCATCTTGCAGGATCTGGCAAAACACTGAAGTTTGTGCAAGCAATACACCAGCAACCCATGATGTTTGCTCGGCATCTGTGCCTTTAAAAGTCTTCGGCAGGAAGAAACAAGCAGGCGCCGTTTCCAGGGAACTTCCAGCAACATGTCAACTGCGGGGCCACAGCACCATTTTCTCGCAGCGCAGCAGTCTATGTACCCACAAGCGTGGCAGCAACGACTTCGGCAGTACTGCGAGCGTAGGTTAGGTCGGGATGTCTGTAGCTTGAGGTCGAGGAGTGCCAGGAAAAACGTACCAGCCAACATTAAACTTGTGCCTGCAGCTACACGCCGAGAAGTTATCAGTGTAGTTAGTTTTGCCCTCTAGGGCAGGGATGTGTGATGGTTACTTCAATTTAGATACACATGGAGCTCTGGCATCAGGGATCCCGGTCACATGCCCAGCAGGCCTCCTGCGAAGCAAGATGCCACCACATGCATGCAGAAAAGTCATCAGCCATATGTTGATGCACAGAGTATTATCATTATGACTACCATTTCTATGGAAGCAATTCTGCCAGCGATCTTCTAATGTTCATCACTTGTATTCTCCAATCCAAACCTCCTCATTTGAGATTGAGCAAGCTCTTCCCCTTCTGGAGGAACTGGAACACTGCTGTGGCCATGTCCTGATATGCACAAGTGATAGGAGTGCCAGCGAAAGTAAGGGAAAAAGATTGGACAGGTCCTTCTTCTCGGGATTCTTATCCGGATGCCAATCCCGTAAGAGATTCCGGAACTCCTGGCAATTCTTTTCCCTGGTACTTGACTGCGCAGGGGGAAATCTATTCTGCACATTATCACCTGGAAAAAAAAGTGGATTTCTACAGAGATGCATACATACCTTCTAGAAATCACAGTAGTTTCCATTTTATTTTCCATTATCCCCTATATACCACTAAAAAATGGTCACCTGCGTTTCTTCAGATCACGGGCCTTGGCTCGCTGCTCCTTCGGCTCGACTTTTTGGAGCTCAGTCAGCTTCGCCAAGACCTTTGCCATAAAGGCAACACGCACTGAGGACTTTTTGGAGTTACAGGAAAACTATCATCCGCACTCTCTTCTTGGCTTGTGCCGTCTCTGGATCCTCAACTGCTGCCTTAGAGCTTTCTCATGAAAGCCAGCAGTTCTTCGATGGTGAATGCTTAGGCGTAAACCTGCTGAGCTCCTGCGGCGTTCGCACCAGCCTTGGATGAAAGAATTCGGATGTGAACCGCTGCAAGCATCGAAAATGCCTGCTCCTGAGCATCTGGCTGCAGCACCAGCAGCTGCTGCTCCGCCAGAGTTATCAGTAGGCCTGGGAGACTGGTAATCAGCAAACTCTCCTCTTGGGCAGTTCCTGGGAGCACTGCGCTTCTGAAGTGAACTTGCCTTTTTTCTTCTTCCTTCAATGGAAAAAGCACATTCTAAAAGTACACAACCCTAAGCTAGGTTGCTGTCCTGTGGCTTTTGCTAGAAGAACTGCTGCTGGACGCAGACGATCTGCAGCAGATGGGTGGATTGCAAAGCAAGAAGATCTCGCTCGGCTAGGCTGCACATTGATCGGATTTCTGTCAGGGGACTCTGGTAAGCACCCTGAAAGCCTTCTGCTGGAGCTGCTTCGTGACTTCTTTCGCTTCTTCCGTCTCCTACGCGTCCAAGGCAAATTCATAGTTTGTACATGCAGCCCTGCAGGGTCTCTAGTCCTTGCCTTAAGAAGATCACACACACAAAACAGTTGGGAACAAGCTACTCTAAAGGACAGAAGTGGCTTGAAGTGTGTAACAGACATACATCTGTGAGCTGGACTTCATTCCAGGAGGTCGCATGACGAACACAGACATCCTTCTTCGCTTCTTCCGACTGGAAGGGCTGCTGCTTCTAGAACTTTTTTGAGATGACCTGGCACGCAAAGCTTGGTTGCCAGTTTCATGCATGACAACCCTGTTCTGAGACAAGTCGACCGAGTGCTGTGCTTGCTTGTCGATCTACTGGACGAAGTCGATGGTGTCCTTGATGGACTAGACCTGCAGCTACTGAACGGCACCCCCATCATCACTATCATGACCGCCCCTACCATGATGACCATGATGGCATACCATTGCTGCGTCACACACTGCCAGTCCGCAATCCGGATGTACGTTCACATTTAGAATCAGTCCCAACAAAGAGCCTGAATTAGCAGCATTATCACATGCACTCCGTCAAAAGCCTGCTTGGGATGGGGGAGAGATCAAAAATCCAGGAGCAGCCTTGGAAAGCTCCCCGAAAAGCTTGGCTCGTGACTCATCGGAGTCCCTGAGGCGCTTGGGCTTCCTTCTGCCTAAACAGCGCCGATCCTGCCCCGAAATTGTCGAAAAAAGGGGCAAGCCGACAGCATGCTCAGAAAGGATGCAATGTTCGCCTTCCGGCCGAAATGCGTAGAAGGCAGGCTCAAGATCCGGATGGAAACTGGTTCAAGCCTCGGGCTTCCATGATGCAGCGTGTCTCAACCATTTTGAATTGGGGTCGGGCTCTCCGTCCAGATTTGCTCCAACACCGCTTCCGGGTTGCCAGCCCATGCCTCAGTCCAAAGCCAACTTGAGCACCGCCCGACCCTGTGAGTCTTGGCATGTGATGGCATGTCGTTACCGGTTGCTGCGTTCAATTTGCTGCTTACTACTGTCCTACGTCTGTCACTCGTGAATTTGTGGCTTTCGAGGGTTCTCTGTAACTTTTGCCGGCAAACAAAACACACAAAGACGTCCGCCATGCACACGCGAATTCAAAAACACGTGGCCAGCAAATGCTGGTAAATGTTGTAATAAGCACTTAGCTTGTACTTAAATGTCCTACGGAGAGGACAATGCCCTAAGCTTCTGGCTTCGGAGCAGCTGCGCTCCAAGGCCTCAGATGTACTCCGTTCTGTTCAGGCACAATATGCTTTTCTCCAAGCAACTTTCTTTTTCTCCGCTAAGCCCAGATCCATACATTTGGCTGAGCTCACCAGCACCATCCTCACGTCTACATGAGTTGTGCATAACTTTGCATACAAGATTGCTTTAGCTGTCCTCGCTCAGGAGGAACGATGCAACAACAGGAGCAGGCGCAGGGGCAGGGGCACCCTTCCTGGCCAGTTTGATTTGTCTTCCCACAGAGCTGAAAGCTGAAAGCAAGCGGAAACGTAAGCTGAATCGGGGCAGGCCGACGGTGGCTCCTGCTCCTTAGCCTCCACTTGCAGCAACTTGCATCTTTAAGCATGACCCGCTGACGTCCGAAGCACAGCCTCTGCCTCTGCTTCAACGTCCACATCTATACCCTGACAGAGACCACTTGCTCCAAGCACGAAACGACTCATGCCTTCCAGAATCTTCCAGAGCTGCCTCGGCTTCCTTGGGCAAGCTGTCGCCGTTTTCAGGCGCAGTGCTTTCCTCAAGCGGGTTTATGGGCCCTGTGCAAATACTCTTGACTGTAAAACTCTGACTAGCGAATACATGGTGAGCGAAAGTGTCCACCCACTGACCCAACAGCTGTGAAACGGCAGAGTACAAAAGCAAACTAAAGGAGGTCCCCAAACAACTCTTGCCTGCGCCTCTCCGCCCTCCTCAGCAACCTTCGGCGCAGACCTGTCTGTGCAAAACTCGCGTGCATTGCAATTGGCTTGTCTTGGGCACAGAGCCCGTTCGCCAGGTTCGGCTCGGGCAAATCGGCGGCCTGCGCCGACGAAAGGGTGCATGAAATGCAACAGAAGCAAAATGAAAGCCCGGGCGCACAGGTTCCTGCTCGGTTGCTTCGGTTGTTTGGCGGACTGAGCAGTCCGGCCTTGCCAAGTTGCCATAGGACAAACTCATGGGCTCCAATGTTACTTCAAGCTGTGGTCATGGCCGCTCAACAACACCCACTGTTTCGGACCTGACTTGCATCAAAGTGCCGAGCGAGTCAAGGCGACTGCCAGAACAGTGAACAGCATTCAGCAGCATGATGACATCATGTGAAACGTAAGGTGGCAACTTGGCATAGACGACTTTTCTAAGCTGTCTCTGTGACCTGCAATTGGCAAAATGCTGGTTCTGCTTGCCTTCTCACCTTTGCATCCTGGAACCCAGCCTCTCCCTTGAAGGGGGCCGCATGTCTCTGGGCCCTCGGTGGACCTTCAGGAGCGAGGAACGCTTTTCGGTCAAAAAAATTCTCCCAGAAGGAGGCGTAGACAGGCAACCCTTCGACCTACGACTCCTATTTCAACCATGGAATCAAAAACGCCCTAATCCAAACAGCCGTAACGATCGTGCACGGCTATGTCTGGGGTGACATGCTCAGAAAGTGTGTTCTTCGCGCACCCTGATCTTGTGGACTCATGACAGTTTCAAGAGGCAGCCTGTGGGCCAGATCTCACCTGAGAAAGCATCCAAGACAGCTACCGCAGCAAGCGTATGCAAGCGTGCATGCAATTTTGCGGTGGGTTTGCCCCAAGGAGCCCTTTCCGGGAAAGTGTAAACTACAGTCTCCAGAGTTCTTTGAAAGGGAAGTCCAATTCTTGAATCAAGAGTGGTTGCTTTGGGAAACATCCTTTGCATGCACTGCACTGCACCGTTGAGGCGGTCACGTCGAAGCGACTGCCAGTTGGATGACGCACTTCTCGCGGCGGCGGTGGAGGTCGACCTGAAGACGAAAAAGGCAAATAGTTTGCTGGATGGGTTTCCTAGGGTACGTAGGGTTGCTGAATAATAGCACTGTAATAGCGTCTCCTCTGATGCCAAGCTGCTGGGCACACCCCTCTCCCTCTCCACCAGCTCGTGCTCGCCATGAGCGTAATCTGCCAATGTTTTACATTCGACTGACTTCCACGTACCGTTTCTTGCCTTCCTAAACGCTGCAAAATGCTTGCGCGAACATAGCCATGAAACGTCAGCGGCTGAAAGGGTCTGAAAATCCCAGGCAGCTGACTGCAAGAAGTTCCGCGCGTGCAACGTCCTTCCTTGAAGTAGACCTGCGCACAATAGGTCCACACAGCAAATCGATGTAAAACATCCTAAACTGCGAAACATGCAGGCTGCTGCAAAGTCAGACTATCCAGTACATCTGCCAAAAAACATTACCAAGGATCCGTCTTAGTCATGTTAAACACTGGTCAACATCGCGTCTATCCCAAAATCGCTTGTCGAAGCAATGTTGCTGGCAAATGGACTGAGGTTCAAGCACAAAGCTGCGTCTTTCGATTGGCAGGCACCGGTGGCGGCGGCATGACGCCTGAAAATTGAAGTGTCACATGAAACGCACGGATAAGAGTGCCATGCAGCGCGAAATTTCTGCCCTGGCCTGCGGGCCCAGAGAGCCCTGGTCCTCCTGGTGGTCCAGGTCCGAAGTTCCCCTTGCCCTTGCCCATCGGCATGGCGCCTGGTGCGTCCAAGTGTTGCAAACAATGGCCATTGACTGTTCACAGTTGAGCACTCAAGGTTGCTTGCTCAAACTACGCTGACAAACATGCCAGATGATCCCTTGCCAATGGGTGGCTGCCATTTTCCTTTGCCAATTGGCGGCCATCCTTTGCCAATTGGCGGCCGCTCATTGGTTTGCATGGCGCCGGCATAGAACAGGCGGGCTAGAGATCGCGGGTGAAAAGGACAATCATTTTCTGGCAATGATTTGAGCAAAAAGCAACATGGGAAGCATGAGATGAGCACGTGATGGTTCGAAACAACACGCATGCTAATCTTAGTCTTTGCGGACACAGGGCGAGCACTTGACACCGTATCATTGAAGAACAAGTAATGTAGCTTGTATACCAAAACCTCACAACTAATGTCCCATTTCATTGCCAGCAACACCACGTTATTGGACGAGCTTTATGTCCACAAGCCGTTTGAAAACATTCCGCATGTTTCCGCAGAGAACTCAGCGTCTTGGTGACACATGCGTAAAATTCACATGCGCCAAAAATTGCACTTGTCCGCAAGATCCATCAATAATAGTGTTCATCTGGATTTGCTCCCCTCCACAAGGTGGATCTGGAACTCTGCCACAAATTAGTCACGCGCGTCGACATGGAACCAAATGTAAAAATGTGTATTTTAATAACCCGACAATACATCACAGTCTTTTGTCGATGCCAACACAGGAAAGCGGCAATGTTACACCATGGTAACACAAAGCACTATACAAGACGGACTGCCACATCTTGTTGACACTAACAATTGAGTCAACCTTAGCATTTTTGAAGTTAGACTTTTTACCAATAATGTGATGTTGTTTCGGGGCTTCGACAAACATAACACGGGCTGGCGAAATCAAGCTGCTGGGGTTAAATGCCATGGTGGCATTTCAATTATGTTGTTGTCATGCTTGTGAAAGTTAGAAATTTGAATTGGGAAACACACGTGTAAGCAAGGTTCTGCTACTCATTCAAGGTTGTTTTGAAATTGCACTTTGAAACAATCTGCAATGTTGTACGTTGGCACAATTTGCTGGCTATTCAACAGTTTGCTTGCGCTCACGTGACAATGTTGACCCAAGTTCTACTTTGGACGGGAAGAAATGTTCTGTCATGCGGCTGCACACGAACATGGTTATACTAATGAAGAACCTTTTGCAATTTCACGTCAGATGAGCCGTTTCAAAACTCCCATGCGGCATGTTCACCCCAAAATCCAATCAATTTTGAAATGCCACCAACAGGGATGTGTTTTTGGGAACATTGAAAAAGCATTTCAACTGTTGCACATTAAAATTGGGGCAAGGCCACAATACAAGCTTAAAGCTTGTGGCCCCACAAAGTAGCATAGAGCCTACTTTGTCGTGGCTGAACTTGAGTATGTTTGGCAAGCCGAAATTCATCCAACCAAATCGAAAAGCCGACATTGAGATAAGCTTGCTGGCTGATGATATGTGCTTTGGATGATTTGAACTAAAATGGAATGGTTTCATAGTTGTTTTGTGCAATGGCATAAGCACGGGATGCAATTCCCTTTTGGGAGTGTCATTAGGCCATTGATGGAAGCAAAGCTTGTTTGCAGATACCATTTCTGGTTGCAAAGATGCGTTTGTACTTGTCGTTGTGAACGTTTCACGCCTCTGGCGCATCCACTCCAACGTCAGGGTCTTGGATTGTTAATGCAACTGCAATGCCTTGCCTTATGCTTCAACGTCATTGACCCCTTGAGCGAGCAAACAGATGATACCCGATCTCGCCCGAAATAAAGCATCCCAAAGCGACTTTCCTGAACAAACCAGATCATGGACATGATGGGGTTGTGCCCACAGCCCTTAATGCATCGGGGCAGAAAAACCAGCTCCGCTACCATGCCGGGAGGTATAGGTCGTGTATTGGGTTCCTTTTTTAAAAAACAAATGCACAAGTGCACGAAGGGTTGCAGCTGAAACCTAGGACAAGCCCTAGAATTCGGTATCCCGCTTTGTGCAAAGCGTTGGAATTGGAGAAAACGTCCAGTGCTCCCAAACTCAGCCATATTCAAATCATATTCTGAAAAATCCTCATGAGAACTATTTCAACAAATCTGTTGCCAAAACTTTATTTATAGACTCAATCAGTGAACACGTGCACGGACTCTCTGAATGTCCTAGGCAGCATTGGGGTGTTCGCGTGTGTTCAGAGAAGTCGGCCATATAGGCAACGGAGGCCATGAGGCCAATGGCACATGGTGATCACACACACCCCCCAGGATCTTTCTTTCTCGTACGCCAAGCCGGTAACATCTTGCGCGATCACTACTGCAATCACCGATTAGGTGATCGGCTTCTCAGTGGAAGCAAGCCGGGTAGATGTCAGCGCTTATCACAATAACGTGTCAAAAAGGAGTGAGGGAAATTCAATCAGTACGAGATAACAGCACCACATAAACATCACAAGCAACATCATCAAAATTTGACAAAGGTTCAGCTCTCGTATTATCATCACAATACCGCAGCCCCCCTACACTGGAGCAATGAAGGGCCCTTTCGTGGCCCGAATCTACGCGCGAGCCCAAACGCACTGCAAACGCTCTAACAGCATACCTGACGCGAACAGTTTTGGACAGCTTCACTGAAACATGGCATTTGAACCTCCGCACCCACCTCATTAGTGTTCTCACCTTGACAAGACCATCAGCATTATGTTGGAAGCGACTGAGCCGTAGCGCAAGCCAGTGAGTTGCAGACACAAGCGCATCTACATGTGCTTTTTCGTCCCAAGCATCAATGAGATCCTGGAGTGGCCATGGCCCAATATCAGGCACATCGAGTGAAATGATTTGCTCACATGAACCTCGATCAAAGGTTTGCAACTGTTCTCCAATTTTCAAGCGCGCCTTCCAACGTCCCCGGAACACCATAGCCTGACAATGTTGCATCAAACGCGTGACAAACTCAGCCAGGTCATGTTGTCTGCCCATGATTCCAGTGTTGGAAAATGTGGCGCCAAGTGAGAAGTTGCATGACATTGCATGGCTTGCCTGGTGTCATGACAGATCTGAAAGCACTCGCTCCGGCTCCCAAACATGTCACCTGAGCACCGCGCTGCTCCAGCATCCACACAATCACACGCACACCCCCAAGGGTCTCTTTCTGAGCTCCACGAAGTCAGACGTCGTGTGAGAGGACGTAAATTCATCACATTCATGATGAACGGCCAAGCATTGTTGGCATTCCATGCTGGCATGAAGTTTCATGTCAAAGCGAACTAGCAAAAGTCACAAGATTGTCACTTGCAATCCTGATATTAGCCTACAAGAGGTTATCTCCAGGCTAATGCGATGAGAGAATTTCACGGACCAAGAGACCAAGAACAACAAACAAACATCACTCGAAACGTCATCAAAAGTTCTAAGAGCTTCAGACTTACATCCATCATCACAGTAGCGGAAACCTACTTCATTCCCTTCATGCGTGAGCAGGGCTCTGTAATGCCCGCAGGTGGCACCTTCCCCTAAGTGGACTGTACAAGCTCTCAGTTCAAAGCTAACCTTAGAGAAGGACAAAGTGGCATCATTGAAAACTAGTGTTTCAATTCCAGCTGTCCACCACATTCGTTCCTGGCATTCTGTTGGAAACGAAGCATCCAATGTTCTTCGGGTGAAGAATCAACACTAATAGCCTCGCACATGTCCCAGAGTCCATGACACGCATGCTACGTGGTCGTATCACCCTGGCCTCCTATCTGCCATGAAAAGGCGTGACCTAGCACCAGTACAAACATGACAACTGCTCGCCAGGCATTGGCAATTATTGGCGCGGCGCGGATTGCACGCGAGTTTACCCGGGTCCTAGAAGAAGTGAGAAAGAGTCCAGAGTCTAAAGTCTGAGCGTGCGTGGCAACCTTGCGCTTATGGAATGGACCCGCAAGACGCCGCAAAAGAGCTTCTTATCGGTGGCGTGCTCCAAAGCGGGTCAAGGCTGTTATGGAAACGCAGAGCATGGCTGCACAAGGTGGAGCCGCATAGAAACTACATGTCTATTGCAAAGCCTCCAGAGCATATTTTATGCACGGAGCAACTTTAGAAAGAGCGTTTTTCTGGCTTCATTTTTGATAAGAACTTTCAGGCACGCGGAACGGTCTGTGTTTCTTACGTTGTCGTCCATTTGCGGGACGTCGTTTTGGAACCGGAAAATCACACGAAAACCGGCTTCGTGCCAAAGTGCCTTCACAGTTGTTCCAGGCCGTCAAAACGCATGTTATTGTGCTCTCGCACCTGCTGCCCGCCAGCATCACCTTTCTAGATGAATGAGTCGATTCTGCCAAGCTCTACTATTTAAAGAGCCGATGTGCTGCCTCTACGCGGGTTCTGCGCTTTTAGCACGCGTTCCATCATGATGAGTAATGGTGTCGCCGCTCTGCAATTTCCATTTGGCGTGGAAGCATACAAGGGTCATTGCAAGACACTGCGTGGAGATGTGGGGTTAACGAATGCATCACAATGCGACAGAATGGCGTTGAAGATTCCGAAAAGACCAAAATATGTATTGTACAGACTGCAGCAGTGGTATGAATTTTGGAGACAACTGGTTGCAGGTTTTCAGATATGGGACGAGACAGCCACATCCTTCCTGATGGAATCTGCACAGGTCCATGGAAGCGATGGTGCGCATCCACCGGCTCTCGAAGAAGCAAGGAGAGGGCTAGTCTGGCCACTGTAGGCAAAACAAGGGCATGGGCAAGATCAAGGTCTTTCCGACTTCCGACTAAAGAGCAGCCCAGCAGTGCCAAAATTGCCTTCTACCGGAAATTTGCTTGGATCGAGCGTGGACAAGACGGTGGCCCTGATCAGCATGATCCTGGAGCAGTACGGTGAAGGCAGATCGACTGTCTGTGCCGGATCCGCAGTGTTCTGAACGGTTCCTGCCGCAAACTGCAGCATACCTCTAGGAGTCTAGACAAGCGCAGAAAAGATTAAAGCAACAACTTTCCGCGTGAAGTTGAACCGACATGAATTATTTACAACACTGTGGAGCAATCGGTTGCAGCTAAGTTGACGTCACGAAACGCGGTTAAGAAATATTTGATCTGTTCAGCCACAGCCTGCGCGGCCTCCTCTTGGCAACGCGTACTTGTTTGGATTATTGCAAGCCCGTGCGCGCAATCCGA